ATTCCAGTTCTTCTAGCTCACTAACCCACATCTGCTTGAAGCATGCCTGTGAAAGGTATCCCATCTTCATTTGGAGCCTGTGAATTAGAGAACACAGCCTTTCTTGTTAATTCACTGCAGTAGCTCGTTAAAAAAATAATTGTACCTTATATCTCATTTAAATGTGTATGATATTAACATTCAGCCTCTGGTGCATGCTGTGTTATTCTCTGCTATATGAAAAAAAAATCACTTCTCAGGATCCTGTGGGTTTTTGCAGTGAAGATTTCTTATGCACTAGAGTCACTTTCAAGCTTGTTTTTTGAAGAAGTGAAGAAGCCGAATTCTTTCTCTCAAAGGATTTTTCTTTTAGATCTTCTCAGGGAAAAGTGGAAGAGTGGGAGACTAAGGTAAAGGTGTCTCAATACCAGGTCCAGATAGAGAAACGTCCTCTCTAGGAGCTGTACAGTGCCACATTAGAGGACCAGATGCCCAGTGTAAAATCAATAAAAGACATATATGCAAGCAGAGAGCATGCAGCTAGATGTTTGCAGAAGCAGAACGTGTTAGCCTGATTTTCTTCTCTTATAGCTTTCTAAAATAGAGAAGTTTAATTTACATTAGCCTAAAGTGGTTCTGCTCTTAGTCCTTTGAGTGAGATAAGATATGAATCTACTTAGGCCAATCGATAACATATGACCACTTATGAAGGGTATTCTCCTTGCCTCATGTCCTAAGGGATCTGTAGGTTCCTCCTTCAAGAGGAGTACAAACCAGCAGTACTTACTGTGGTTAATAGGCGTCTCTTTTGGCTGGCAGAGCTGGGATGGGAGAGATCAGATCATATGGCCTGCAATTTAGGAGGAAGAAAAGAAAAACCCACAAGACACCTAGTTGCCCTGCAATCAAGTTGGCTTTTGCTGTTATTTGCACGAGTCTCTTCCACTTCTTCTATCTCCTAAATCCTTGTCATTCAGGTTTGAGAGCTAGGACTATCTTCTTTGGCACCAAGTCAACGATACGTTTTTTAGCACCAGCAGCCATTCATATTTTACATTACTGTTCCTCTCTGTTCCTTTCAAGCAATAATCGTAAATATCTGCTTTCATTCCTAGAGTGCCTTTCATCCCAAGGGCTCCCAAAGTACTTTCCAAACTTAACAAGCTTATTGTAGAGTACTCCTTTAAAAAGGGTGAAACTTGCTTCCCATTAAATCCTGATTTTGGGGAGGAAAACACTGAATTATGTCTTCAATACGTGAGAGAGCCTTTGCAGCTGTTATTTACTGTACATGTTCCCTTATGAAAAAAGTTTGCTTCTTGCTTCTCCATCCTCCTGTCTCCTGAGCTTAATCCAGCAGTGCTCAGTTACCTGGGGAAGAAGAGTGCAAGTAAGAGAGATGATCATCCCCTATGATCTGAGGAAGTGCTTTTTTTCTGGAATCGTATTGCTGTTCTCAACAGTTTCTTCTGACAACTCCATTTCCATCCAGTCTATTTTCTCTTTATTGGGGCAAATGTGCTATGGCAGAGTTGAATGTCTTGTGGCTTTAGCCAGAGAGATCAACATCCACAGCTGGGCTATGCTACAGATCATGTGAGAAGCTGTAGTCCTCTTCCGGACAAAGTCAGCTGGCCTAATTTAAGTCACATTCCCCTGCAATCAAAGCAAAGCCAATTGCTTTGCACTGAAATGAATCACGACCTTTGAAATGGTCCTTTATTTGGCTCATCTGTGGGAGCAATAATCCAGAAGAAAAGATTGTTACTGGTAATTTCTGAACTGAAGAATTTGTTTCCTAATGAATCATATGATTAATTTTAGGGCAGCCTGAATCTGACCAGTGTCAATTTGTTTTCATTGCTTTCAAGAGGACTCAGGATGATGGGACCTGTCCATCTCATGGATGCTGCTGTGTGGGAAAGTGGTCTCTTCTCTGCTTGGCTGAGAGAGGCCCGGGTCAGACACACAAACTCTCATTGCTTTTCTGAGGACATACCAAGAGTCTGTGGTAGAAGTGGGAACAAAAGTCCTATCTCTGGTTCAGCGCTTCAACCGCACAAACACAGTCTATCAATATAGATAGGTTTAGATGAAAGATACATCAAAGCATATTTTTGGCTGCTGCCTTCAGAAGTAGTACTAAATCTCCTGGGGGAATGCAAGAAGTGAGATATGATCCAAGCATCAAAATCCCCATCTTCTTACTGTCTCTCCTCCTCTCTCACACTGGTTGGGTTCACAAGGAAGCCCTTTCTTGAGATTGTTGTGTCATCTATTCCCATCAGTAGATTTTGGTTCAGAAATGCATTTTTGCTCTTTCCCAACAAAATGCTGCCTGTTTCAACACTAACTCTGAAGATCTGTAAGTTGGCAAAGGATCCAAAAAGAATCATGAACCAGCAGTTACAGTTTACATTGGCCACCTTGTGTAAATCCTGATATTAGCATTTCTGAAAGGATTCATTCATCACTGAAAAGAGATTTGTACCTGTGAATAAGAGCTTGCCTGGGAGAGCCTGTGTGCTTCCTCTCCTCTATCAACAAAGCTTACCAACATGAAAAGATGGTTTTGCAATGGATGTTAATGCATACCTATTATTTCAGGATGAGACTTTTCAGCCACTGAAAATATTCCATGTCTATTTCTGATGGTGTAATGAAATCATCAGTAAAATTAAAGAAAAGTCTTACCTATTTTCATGTGTCATGTTTGCTTGTTTGTTTGTTCATGGACCCGAATATATATATTTAGAGTTTCTCTCTTGGGCCTTTTTTTTTAAACTAAAATCCTGTGATACAACCTCAAGCCCAGTGGTTAGATCTCATGTCATGTAAAATCAAGTCAACCTGCACTAGAAAGAACAGCTTAGTAAAACATTCTGCCTGTTCCAAACTATGACCTCTTCTGGGGATGTCAGTGAAATAAACACACTTTTATGAAGTACCCTTAAGTTTTCCTTACCTCCTGCTGTTTGTCACACTTGTTGCAATTTGCCTTAAATTAGCTGATTTCACACCAAGGTTCATGGTGCTGTTTTGTTGAAAAAAGAGGTTGGTACATTCTGCACTGGCCCAGCTGGCATGCCATGAGCCATGGCTCATAGATGGAAAAGGGCCCCTGAATGGACAGCAGCCAGCGTTTGTTCTGCCCTCATACTGCAGGTCAGGGTCTCTAAGCAGTGGTGGACACATAACAACAGCATTTGTGAGGGAGACAAAAATGTGGGATGTCTCTGCGGGATGGCTACATTTTGACTAGGATTCCTTGGGATTCTGCAGGATGAAGATCAAACTCTTTTTCAGGTATGTCACTGTGTTAAAACATCTAACATGACATTTTTCTTTTAGACTGCTTCACTTCTCAGCTGGAAGCAGCTGAGGGCTACTAGGACTGTTCCTGGACACTCACACAGCTCCTGGCACAGTACGGTGTCAGTTCTGGCAGGAGACAGGCCATTGCTGCAATCTGAATGCCCATTTTTTAAAAAAAATAAAATCTGGAAGGTAACCTGCTTGCAAGTGCCCCTTTCATGCAAAAGATGATGATTTGTGAGCACTGTGTTTGTAAAGCAGAGGAAGAAAGCAAGAGTGAATGAAATGAGACACCAAGGACTAACCTGCTCCCTTCCATGGGAAGGTCTGTGGGAGAGGCGTGACACTCCTAGTGGAGTTTCTTCTCAACCCTTTAAATTGTCAAGCAGGGGAAGCTGGGCCAATGACAGATAAGGAACCATGAGGGTAATCCCTGCACCCAGAAAGGTAATATTTGCTGCCTCCCCGGGGCTGTAGTGTGACCGTGCAGCTCTGTTGCATGCAGGGAGCGGAAATAACACCAGGAATCTCTAAAGGGGCAAGTGGGTACGTAACAGGACAGTGATGCACATAAGCAATTTCACTGTAAATGGTTGGAGAAGAGATGCCTGGTCTGCAACAGGCAAACACTTCTCTGCACAGAACCAGAAAAATTTCCCTTCAATCTGGGACAGATTGCCAGCAATCTCAAATGCAATCTTCACGGTGTTACTTCCAAAGATGAAACAAGGGTATTATGGACACTTGCCACTGAGGCAGGTATCTTTAAATAGAGCTGCGAATTGCCTGGTTTAATGCTAACAAACCTTAATGGTGAAGAACACAAGACAGGTAGCAGCACTCATATAGCGTAATGTGATGGCTGATATAAGTGTGAGTCATTCTAACCAGGGGCTTTAGTATAGGAAGTCAAATAAAAGATATAAAAACAAATCTAGGTTTTTTTCCTTCCCAGTGAAGGTCACTGCCAGGAATAGCATGGGAAATAATTAATGGAGGAAGAAACGTTCCCCTCAACTTAGAAGTATTGTTTTGCTTTACAGTTTTGTTCTCTTTGGACTCCCATAACAAACACCAGTGAACACGCAGGTCCTTTCTCCCTGAAGCCGCTGACGGATGTCCCACCCTGGGTAGTGAATGCAAGGGACCATGTGTGCAGTGCTTACGGAGTCTGTTAATGGGTGTCCTGCTCCCTGGCAGTCCACCCACCAGGCAATACACTGAATGGGCCTGTGAGACTGAATGGGGCTCTACGTAATGGCAGCCAATTTTCCTGGTCAACAGGGAGGCGCGGTGCCAAGGCTGTGTGTGAGAGCCTGCTGCTGGGAGGATTTACCCTTTTTCCTCTGTTCCTGAGCCCTGGGGAGGTGAGTTATCTTTTCAGACCTGTCACAGGTCCTGCTCCCTCAGTTCCTATGCTTCGTGTGGGAGGACATGGATGACACAATGACCATTGCTCTTGCAGTGGCATGGACTGTTCTCTGCTCATCCTGCAGAGACCTGGGATGCTCTGGGCTACTCATTTGCTCCCTGTGACCAGCATTGCACTTACACTGTTCAAAGATAAGGGGAAGCCACACAGCTGTGCCTGTGGGTGCAGTGTGCATGCAACGCTACCTGGGGCAGAAGTGTTCCACAGTGTAGCCCATCTGCTGTGCAGGAGTGCTGTGCTACAGTCTGATTCTCTTTCCTCAAAGTGCCCTTTGAGTGGGGACAGATGAGGAGAGGAGTGAGTGCTTCTGCTTCATGTCACCACCCTACAGGCTGGAAACCAAGGAGCTCCAGGGGTCCAAGGGGCTGCTGATCCCTGGGGCTCTGCTTTGTTTTCTTCCAGGAGGCTATAGCAGGGAGAAATGCTGGTGGAAAGCTCTGAGCTTTGCACTGCTGACTAAAATCTTCTGCATGTGACTCTGTCCCATCTGCCACAAAGGACTGTTCACATTTTCCATTCTTGACTCTATGTGGCTGTTCTGAACATCGCAGGTTATCTGTGCACAAACCAGCTGTCTTTCCTACTGCTTGGCTCTTGATAGCTGACCAGCCTTCATCACTGCTCAGCGCCCATGCCAGGGTCACTAAGGCAGTTAGCACAGTGTTAAGATACATTTATTTTTTCTTTTGGGAGCCCAGTAGGTAAGAGTTCGGATTCTCCTTCTCTCATGAGGTTACTGACTCCGCATTGGATCTTTAGAGGTAGGAGCACTGCAGAAGTCCTGAGTATCCTGGAGCTCCCATATAGCACAGGAAAAACCTATTATGGGAAAGCTGCTAATAGCAGAGGTAAGCTCTTACCCAAATTTTCCACTGATGTTACAGACTCTGGAGAATCAGCTTGTTTCAGCCAGGTTCCCAAACTGCTTTTTGGTGTTTATCCAAAACAAGCCTGTGCATTGACATTTCCTATCCCAAAACTGTCTAATCAAATTAAAGGAATGAACCCAGTTGCACAGATGCTGCTCCACTATGCTTCTACAACTGGAGCGGGGCCAGAACACAAGCCCAGCTCAACTTCCCTCTTCTCCCCCAAAAAGAGCCATACGAGGACACTGAAGCTCAGTCCAGATCTAACTTTCACAGCCAACCCCTTTCTGTGTGGTGAGTAAAATCCTAATGCAGAAAGCTTTAAAGCACTTCAGAAACGTGGCTATGTGTAACTGTTGGGCATTTGACCAGTAAGGTTCATAATGCTGTTCAGTTTGGAGTATTTGGGTTACAAAAATCCATCCCATAAGGATGGTCTGTCACTTGCATGTCTTCATGTTGACTTAAAGCTGGGCCCTTTCGTTTTGCATGGTTTCTCTCTTTCCAAGGCATGTGTGTTGCTCTTCTAGCCGTCTCCTTATGGTGATGAGACTTGGGGCCACACATTCTGTAATCTGGGATTTTCACAGATGCTGCTCTTTGGAATGGTTGCCAGAGGTGCTGAGTTGGGTGGGATGACCTGTTGCTCTCAGGTTTATTTCTTTAGAGCATCTCTAACAGGAAAGACTGTAAGATATATAATTAAAATACTTCTAGATTACCAAGTCTTGTCTTGTCAAACTTCTTGTTATGACTCCTTGTGAATGTGACATTTGTGAGCTGTTTTACCACAGCTTTTAATCACTTTTTGGTGAGAAAAGAAGTTATGTAATTCAAGCTTTTCCTTCTTCCTTCTCTTTTTTGCACTCAGATTTACCATATTTGCAGATAAACTGTGCCTATGTCAGCAGCTGGTGTGGTGCAGCAGGAAGCAGATCCACAGAGGTGGCTGTTTTGTGCCAAGGACTTGGTATGTCAGGGGATTTACACCAGTTCACTGGTTTGCCTCAGTTCTGATTCCCAGGGACCAGACGCTCATTAGAGGTTGGAGTGCAGGAGTTATGCTCCTGGGGTCCATCTCCTGGTTTCCTTTCACTCAAAGGGAATTCAGTTTGAAAATTGCTCCCTGACATAAAGCAAAATGTGGCAAGTGGGACAAACAGGGCATGTGCCTCACGAACTCACTCCTGATACAAATTAAAACAAGGACATAGAAAGACCTGTCAAGAGACCTTGGTCAGCGACATCACTTGAGGTCCCACATGGTTTGTATGTGTGGCAAATGGGTCAGTTCATTGGCTAGTGAAATAGCTGTTTTTCTTGTCTGAGCAGCTCTCTTACTCTTTTTTGGATATAGCTGCTAATCTATTCTTCTCTCCTCGCACACTTCCCCAGCCTTCCCTTTTGCCAAATCCTCACTAAGCATATATATATATATATATGTGTGTGTGTGTGTAGGCAGTCATGTCTGCTGCCGGGATTTCCTCCCAAACAATACCTGTTGTGCTGGCCACAGCGGTTCTCTTGGTTCCCATGCTCACAGCAGTTTGAGTTTCCTGCTGGCTCAGCAGCAAGACTTTCAGGGCTTTTTATACTTATTCTTCTTTGGGAGCCAAGCGGAGGAGCGCAGTTTGCCTGTGAATAGTGAGCTGGCTGGGCAGGCAGCAGGAAGCTTGCATACTAAACCGTGTGAACTTTGAGGAGGGGAGGAAGGGGGCTGCGGGCTGCTGGCTGGGCTTCACGAGGCGTTTGCTGCAGCCCTCTGCCTTATAAACTCATCATCTCAGCATAGGGATGCTCTTTGCCAAAGGAACAATAATATCTGTAAAATGGCAGTGGGAAGAAGCGAGAGAGAGGAAAATGGAATTATAGAGAAAACAGGAGGAGGGATTGGAAAGTGGAGAAGAGTGAGGAGGCTTGGGTTTTAATTATTCATACGAAAACTTGTGCATGGGTTCCCTACACGTAGAGATGCCACTGCACTACTGGGCTCACAGGCCCTCTTGTTCACTCCCTTGCTGCCACGACAGTGGCCACACCATCATCTTTGGGTAGGGGCAGCTTTTCTGTATTTCTCAGACAAAGTCAAAAGCAGAGAAATTAAAGCATACTTCTCTCTTCCCCCTGCACAACCCCTGTACTCCTTTCTGTTGCTGTGAGCAAAAATTAATAAGTGGGTTCCCATTCACAAGGACCAGGAATCATGGTGTGTCTATGAAAGAGTGGTTTGAAGAGCAGCACTGTGAAACACCAGTGCCTGCTTGTCAGTCACAGGCAAAATCATCCCTGGAACAGGGAGACAGGTGTTTTGTCAGCTGCTGTGGCTCTGCTGCAGATGCAAGCATGCTGGGGGCATTCTTGGGAAAGAGTGGGAAGCGGGAAGGGAAGGGACCTATCTGCCTGCAGACCTGTTCCCTGCTACCTACTCATGTCTGCATAAACAAATGGGGAATAGGTTGTGCCTGTGCTTTGAAAATGGAGTGGCAGAGGATCACACATACTGCACAGATGCTTCCTGAGCAAGAGTGGCCTGATAGAGGTATGGTGCCATGGTGTGTACTGGTGGGATGGCCCTATGCAGGGAGAGCCTCTGTGTGTGTGTGATGTAGAGGTGGAAATGCTCAGCAGAGTGACAGACTGGGAGAGGGGATGAGGCTCGGCTCGGTTAGTTCATGCCGTAGTGTCATTGTGAAGTGATGAGACCTTCCTGACCCAATCTGAAATAACGACTCACAGCTTTCCCTTTTTTTGATAGCACCCTTCATTGAGGGTGCCCATTACTCCAGGCTCTAAGTAATCCACAGATGCACAATAAACCTGAAAAGCTGGGGCCCATGCTCCCCTACCCAGCTCAGCAGCACTCTGTGCCTGGCTCCCAACTGAGCCCTGAGCAATGCAACAGGTATACTTGGCACCTGCATCCCCATGGTGCCTCTGTAGAATGAGTAGCCTTCCCCAGAGGTCTATGAGTGCTGGGAAAAGGGGGAGATACAGCTCCAGATCCCAGAGTGGGCTCATGGAGAGCCAGTGGAGATCCCAGGGGAGAGTCACCTGCCAAGCTCATTTAGCCTCTGCCCAGGCAGCTTGTGGCAGAGCACAGGCACCTCCAAAGGAAGCAAATCTCTTCACCATGGTCTTCTTAGAAAGTACAAAAGCAGTCACAAATTTGGGGAAATTACCATTGAATTCATGCATTTTCTGTTTCTCCCCTCCTGACTCAGCAGAAGCTCAGTTTAAATTACACGTAGTTGATGACCTTGATGCCTCTGTCTGTTTTTAAGGCTATCCAACGTTTCTTATAAGACTTGTTGCTTGTAAACCCCTGAAAACGTTATCTGTCTACTGCTTAGCTCTTTTTTTTCTGTTCTGAGTATCTGTCTCAGGCTGAATGCATCTGGGAAGCTTCAGCAAAAAACGTTTTTACTTGCTTACAAGAAAGAGATGAGAGAAACAATTTTTTTTCTTCATATTCAAACATGTTCTTAAAGTGATCTGTTGAGAAACTCTAGCACTTTCTGCCTCTGAAGAAGAGGCTTGAAATTTGGCAGATATCAGGAATGTACCTTTGGTTGTTTTTCATGGGGAAAAAAAATAAGTTGAACTGAGAAACCTTAGGAAATAAAAGAAGCCTCAGATCTCAGACACTCAACAGAAACTTTTTAAGAGTTAGAATCTGAATTCTCTGAAGACACTTGCTCAGTGGAAACTTGTTCAAATCCGGTGGCTAAATCACAGATGATGGTGTGGCCGGCACAGAGCAGCCTCCTGCTGCAGGTGCAGAGCAGCAGCTCCTTGACCTTGTTTTTCTGTGCTGGCAGGATCACTGTAGTGCTGGAGATACTCTTGGATGTGCTCCTTTGCTGATACTTAAATGAACATGCAGGAAGGCTGATGTTGACTAGGGCTGGACCTGGCCAAGGGAGGAAGGGAAGGAGAGAGGGAGCCCTACTGCAGCACAAAGGCTGAGGACCCCCTGCCTGGAGAGGGGAACTAATGACAGGTGTTGAAGTAGATGTGGGAGCAGGACCAAAACAGAAGACAGGCTGAAAGGACTGGGAGGGGCAGGAGGAGTCAGATTTGGGAATATATCTCCTCACCAGATCATACCTCCTGCAGAACCTGGGACACAGCCAACCCAGGGATTTCTGTAGCACAGTAGGTGTCTGTTGTCAGCAAATATTTGGGGAAGCTATTGGTGCAGGCTGTGGATGAGTTCTGCCTGCTCCCTCAGCAGAGGTTGTTGGGCTATCAGTATTCCCAGCTAGTCTGCTTTTCAAGCATGATGGAATTAACAGCTGAGAATAAGAGCCAGTTCTGCCAGTGAGTCATGCAGTAGACAGTATGCCACATGATGGGATTCCTGCATTTTTATTTCAGTTTGCCATCTGCAAATCAAGGAGATGACACAAATTTGACGTAGATTGAAAGTATGGGAAGCTGGTAGGGTCAAGCACTGGACAGCTAGAAACGCCTGATTTAACACTACCCTTGCCACCTGAGTCCCATCTGCACAGGCATCATGATAGGGCTGCTTTTAGCTATAGGATCAAATGCATATGTAAATATTTATTTTTCTCCACAACAGCTCTACCTCTTTTAATACCCAGGGGGCAGACAGTTCTTGGCAAGGGAGTGGAGGCTGTATGGGGAAAGGTCTTTGTCCTGCCCAACTGCAGCTGTGCAGGACGAGAGGATCCCTACTTCACCTTCAGGCCACAGCAGACTCCAGCTGTCGGCAATGGGGATGGTAGGCAGCACCTGTGTCCCTGGCCTGCAGCAAGGCCAAAACAGATGGAGTCCTCAGTTAAATTATCTACCAAATTCAAACAAACCCCCATGAGGCAGGTGCAGAGTGAAGCCTTGTATAACTTGTAACTTGACCACAAATGAGAAAACCTAGGACCCTTGCAAAGGCACATCCTCCTTCCCTGGCTCTGTCTATCAGTATCAGCCTCTGAAGACAGAAATGTTTAATCTCTTGATTTGAACAGAGCAAGCTAACATATATCTTCCTAATCTTATTCTAGGAGGCAGTTGAATTATTTTAGCTAAAAATTACCAAAAGAGGCTGCCTGAGGCAGACATCCAGCATGGTGTATTTGAGCTTGAGCGAGTCATCATTAATGGGAAGAGTTAAACAAATGCAGACAGTGCTCACAGGAGGAAATGAGAAACTTTGCCTCTGTGGATGGCCACACCAGAAAACATGTACATGAGCACATGAAATCTTGCTGCTACGCATCCAGTTAGCTGATTGCTACAGGCAAATACCTGAGCTTGTAATGTGGCATTTGCAGGCTCCAGGCGTGGACTGGCTGTTTTACAGACTTACTGGACACTTTGTGTTTTGCTGTTGAATCAAATATATTTGAGTGATGGTGAAGCATGAGAGAAACACTTTGGAGTTCTCTTTCCCTGCAGGAGGTGGAGGTGCAGAGGAATGGTAATGCTGGCCCTTACCTGCTGGTGTGCAGCACACATGACATGTGTGGCAGGTTGCTTTGCAGAAAGATGTTGCTATAGTGGCTCTGAGCAGTCCTGGGTGCTCACCTGAAAACCTCTACACCAACAGAGGTTTTGGTAGGGAGTTGAAAGGGCTGTGAAGGTCAGCAGCAGCAGGTTAGCAGTTCTTGCTGCCAGTCTGCATTTTCCCTTTCTGCAGGAAAAGGTATTTTCCTTTCTTGTTACGCTTTATCTAGAGCTGTGTAAACAGCGCTCTCTCCTTGATGTTGACACCTTCAAATGATTTTATCTTCTTCTTAGGGATTTACTTATCCAAACTGTACTATTTAGTTATTTAATCTTCCCTTTAGTTATTTGATTGTTGTTCATTGTTGAATTCTTTCCAATATGATGTCGCCTTGACACACGAATGCCTGCAGTTGCTTTCTCTGTTCAGAGGATGGCTCAGACTCAGCAGCACCCTGCAGAGAGAAGCCATCTTCCTTCTCCTCTGTGATACAATGTTCTTCACCTCTCTTCAGGTCAAAATCAGACCCTCGCATTTTATAAACCAGCATCTAGTTTGCTACTCCCTCTTATCCATTTGCTAGGCCCCTTTCAGCAACTGCCATGGGTTATTTTTCTGAATGTTTCCTGGCATTGCCCATGTCCTAGTCAGGAGCTGTTAATTGCTATTTTCCTTTCCAATCCCCCATTTCACAAATTTTTTTGTGAGCTTGAAATCATAACTGGAGACTGAAGCTCATGCACTCTTCCTCATTGCTGCATCCAAAATGACCCTGTAAAAAAAGAAAAAAAAAAGAAATGTTTTACATTTTCATAATTCATAATGATATCTTTCCATTCACAGCCACACTGGACACTCCCTCGGGTCTGAGCAGGCTGACAGTTTGGTTGTATGGAAAGAGAGTGGCATTAAAATGGTGAGCAAGGCTCCTCTGGAGAAGTTCAGTCCTTGGTTATTCTCAGCACTAATGTATTCTGCTGAAACTCATGCAGAAGTTTTAAGAGCTAATTGTTTGGACAGGTATATATGCTTTGGAATGGTGTATGCACTTTGTGTGTGCAGGTGACATTTCATTTTTATATTCAGTGTACATTAGGACATGAAAAGACCCAATTTCAACCTATTCTGCAAATGACACCTAACGCCAACCTGTGTGAAACATGCACTACCTGAAGGATGTCTGTGCAGATTTCATCTTTCTTATGAAACCTTATTGACTATTTCTTCTCTGCAGGCATTAGAAGTGGAAATAGAATGGGGTTTGTACCTAACCTCATAAACAGGGAAAGGGGGGAACAAAAGGTCTTTGTCAGTGTAGCTCCTGAGTACATTGCGTTAAACTAGTAGTGAGCTGGAAGCTTCTCCAAAGCTGTGGAGCAAAATGTCCCACTCTGTTTGCCTGTGGGTCATGAGTTATTTTTTCTGCTTTTGAGATCTGAACTCTTCAAAACTTTGTCTTGTATGGATAAACAAAAGCTAGCTACAGCCTATGGAGAGACCTGGAAACCATTAGGTGCAGAAACATCACAGGACTCCAAAAATGAATTCAGACTTCTTTTTAACTGAAAATAATATATACTTTTAAAGGGCAGAACATGGAAATACAATCATAATGGCCGCTATCAGGAGCTGCTGGCAGTTTGTCTAAACAGAAAAGTCCTTTTCTTGGAGATTTCTGCTACCCCTCAGGCTTCTGTCCATTTCTGTGTCGTTACTTGCAGTGTTTAAGCATCATTAAGTTTAAATGCATAAATTTTCTTTGGCTATTCAACCCTAGCCACTTTTGGGAAGGAATTGGCCAGAATCCCTGAACCTAAAATAATCAAACGTCTGTCTTCCTATTAAAAAAGCTGCCATTTATCTGACAAGCAGTGAAAAATGGAATAGGTAACTCAGTATAAGCATCATTTGAGAGACTTGTTGTTGCAAAACCAGGGAAGTGGCTTGCACATAAGCAGATGGTACCTTTGCCAATACCCAGGTAGTTACATGCCATGTCAGTATATTTGGTTTCTTAATATGTGTTACTTTTATTTTCAGTCTCTTGGTTTCTATCACCCTCTTTAGAAATACTCCAGCCACAACTTGTAACCTTTACAGGCTCATCCAAGGAGCATGGCCTTTCAGACACTGCTTTTGAGAATATTTATTGTGCTTCAGAAGAAGTTGTCTTTGTTTTGAGATTGTTCTGGGCATGAGAAATAAAAATTAAAATGGAGATGGTGGCCAGCACAAAGAACCAAACAAAATAATTTTAATGAATTTCCATACGTGCCAATCCACCCTCCCCTGCAGGAAAAACAACTCTCAGATGAATGAAGCATATGGCACAGAAGATGGAGCGCCAATGCCAAGTTTGTCTTTGCCTTAGCAGAACTCTCTGCAAAATGCTGAAGTTGCAGATCTTCTAAATATGCTCATTGAGAGAAAGGGGAAGGCCTACTCCTAATGCCTTTTTAGTTGGGATTATGCACTCTCACTATTTAAATCCTCATTTGGTAGGAAATTATTGTGGGTGCAGTGCTACCTACAATGTTCAAACTACCTGCCATGGAGAGCAGTGCACATTGCAGCAGCAAAGAAAACCCATCAATGAGCTAAATATTTGAGAAGGATCTGAAGCCCACACTAACCTGCCTTCTGCATGCATGTGACGATTGCCCTTTTGGCAAGCAGGCATACTTGCTGCTGTGTGGTTAGACACCCTGTTCCTGGCCATGGTTTGTTATCCAGTTGGTGTTTATGTTGCCGGGAATATTTAAGGACATGATTTTATTCGAGCTGTCCAGAAGTGAGGCATTCAGTGTAAGTCCCCTCATCATGAGTTGTTCTAGAGTTAGCAGAGAGACAGTCATCCCTCCCCCCCACAGGTTTTTTATTCTAAAATAGGTGTGGAGTGCTGTGTAAGGGTGCCTCTCTCTTTCCATAAGCTCAGAGAAAACCTTCAACCTCAGCTAAGCCTGTGTTCAGCCATTACAGGTCTGTCTACTCCCAGCTTAGCCCCATCAAGTGAGGCTCTGGGAGGACAGGTTGCTGATGGGTCCTGATGTGGCACAGGTAAATGGAATGTCACCACCAACCTGCTCTGCTCTCTTCTGAAGGATGTAGGATACTGGAGGAACTTCAAGTAGCTGTCAGCAGTACACTTCTCCATGGTTGGCTAACAGCTAAAGATGAGTGTCTAAATTAAGAAGTTAAGCATCTAAAGCCTTTATTGAACCTATCTCTGTGGGGGCTGAAGCTGAGCAGACTTATATGTAAGGAAAAAATCTCCTGCTGTTTTACTTTAATCTTTCAGACAGCTATGGAAATGTTTGTGTTGTGTACTCTTACATATGTGTTTCTTCTACAGGTGCTCTCAGACCCAGGAGATGAGGCCATTGTTTTACCTGAACACATGCCATGGGGGCACACCATGGGTTGGGTGAGGGATGCTGCTCTCCCAGGACCTCTTGCAACACATTGCCTTGGAGATGTTTCATAAGGCAGGGACGAATTCCCCCCCTTTGGACACGTGTTGCCTCCCACAGTGAGTAAGCAATGCCTCTCTTTCCAGGAGGTAGAAGATACCTGACAAAGTGATGAAATTAATGGGCCAAGAAGCTCTTTTGTTTAAATGAATGCTGGGAGATGCAGAGGTAGACTTGATTTTTACATGGTTAATGTTCCCAATCCTCTTTTTAGTCCTCTCATGGCAACTGTGTACTTTGCAGCTCAAAGTCACATGAATCTCTGCTCAGCAGAAATGTAAATGTTTTGATAAAACTGTTCTTAACAAGTTTAATTCATTTAATCAGCTTGATTAACTGCAGAGCTTTATCGTCTTTAATTGGGCAAGATTTGCTATAAATTAACACTTTTTGTAATTTTATGAAGAATGTGGCACTGTGCAGGATCTTGCTGCCTTGGTGGTGGCACGGGAGGTGCCTGTCTCTGGCACCCAGCTGTTCCCTTACAGCCTCACGTGTTTTAGAGCCCTGGAGACCTTTGGGTGCTGAGCCTGCCTGCAAAGCCAGGCAGATGCTGGTCAAGGGGCAGGATGGACATGCAGCTGGAAGTGTCTCAGCAGATACTATTTCTTTCTCTGTGTTTGCATCTTCTAGATGATTAATCATCCCTTCCAGTAAAAATGCAGCATGCCTCTTCTTCCAACAAATCCCACAGAAAGCAAGCACAGTTGTCCACAACAGCCCTCTCCTTGTTTTGGTTCATAACCAGCCTCAGCCTGCAATGAGATTTCAAAGGCTGGCTGAACAAAGTCCCCAGGTTTATGAGTAGAAAGAGGAAAAAAAGGGATGATCAGAAGATCTCATCTTGGGTGCACATCCCAACTGGTCTTTCCTGTCTTCTATTTAATATAGCAGATAGAAAGGCTGTAAAATATGTCCAGCTGGAAAGAAGATAATTTTGTTTTACTCTGTCCAGTCTCATTTTTCAGAACTGAATGTCCAGTTGTGTACCTGTGTGAAACCTCCCAGGCCCTGGAGGCATAGTATTAATTTATTTAAATAGGCAGTTTATTGTCCACATTACGTTTTTCCGTGCCTTTTGCTCAGTATCCCAGAGTAGAGAAACAAAGAAGAGAGTGGAAACAAATGAACTATCCCCTTTAATTTAGAGTCTGCCCAAAGCCCTGGAGCAGGCAGAGCATCGACACAGTGTCTGCTCTGGTGGGTTTGCTCTTGGCTTGGCAAGCACTGTTCTCCCTCGCACTGCTGTGCTGCAGAGCTGCTGTGCAGCGGGTCCCAGGGGCCTTCCCATCAAAATGCATGGGCAGAAAAACATGGATTTTCAACTCTCCTCAGACAACTTTGCACTTTTACTCCTGTCTGACTCTGAGTTGGAATGGTCCCTGAGAAAACTGTGTATTTCACAAGAAAGGAAGGTTTTTCATCCTTTCCTAGAACTTCCATGGTCCTTCTGCGTGCATGGCTCTCACAGGCCAGTGTGATGCAAGAGGAGGCATTTCTAACACCAAACAACACAGTTCCTCTTCCACCTTTGACATTTCTACATTTTGACATTTGATGCCTTTTTTGCTTTTTTTCTTTTTTTTCCACAGACTAAACATTCATGTCATATCCTGTTCGAGGAGTTGTTTTAATGGATGCGCTGCCAACAAAGACACTTGGGTTTCGATGGCTGATCCTTTGCAATTGTAACGGCATTTAATGAAAGGTTTTGTCTTTGGAAGGACAAAATATCCTTTATCCAGCTTCAGCTTTTGAAAGAAACACCACAAATATTTTTGGATTGGATGTGAAATGTTGTGTAAATTCTGTAATACCAAGGGAGAAAATATGTCCTTTCCTTATTAACAAACTGTATATCAAAACAAGAGTGCTTAAAGCCTAAATGGTTTTATACACAATGAATTCATCAGAGTTTTACATCCCCAGTAAGGGGAGTATTTAAATACAGACAAAATGTGCAAAATTAATTTATATATGAAACTAAAGATATATTTGCGTGTTTGGTTGGTTTCTTTTTTAAATTAGATTTAGCTTTTCTTTTCAATTCCTCTTCTCTGAAGTTGCTTGCACTTTGAGGCTGTGCATCCTGAGCCCCGGAGGGCTCTGGCAGGAACAAGCAGGAACACAGGAGCCTTGAATGACTCTTCATAAAGGCAGAGATTCAGAGCTGTCCTTCAAAATTATTTCAGTTCATGGTGCAGCTGCTGCAGCATATACTGGAGGCTGAGAAGGCCACAGCTTACTGGTGTAGTCAGAGGAAGTGGCGAAAACCTCCATCAGTGTTCAGGATGCAGCATGGTTTAGGTGGCTTGGAAAAAGAAAATGTTGTTGCCTGTTGCTGGATCCAAGGGCAAAGCAGCTAGATGTTGCTGATTACCTCCTGAGAGAAGTACCAGGTGACTGACGACTTTTAAATTGCTTTTTCATTGTGCTGTGTGAACTGCACATGGGGACTGGGCTGCACTGGAGGCTGTTGCATCACAGATCATGCTTTCAGCAGAGCTTTTAAAAAAAAAAAAAAAAAAGAAAGTAAACGGTGTTATTTTCAGCCTGAACAGTGAGCAAATTCTCAGTATCTAAATGAGAGCCCTTGAAGTAAGCTCCAGGTGCTGCAGGAAGTGGTGGAGGTGACTCAGTAAATGTCACACTTCCCTCCAAGTCAGTTCTGAAGCGGTATCCAGAAATAACATTTCATAGGCATCTGGCTGTTTGAGATGGCCCTGCTTTTTCATGGAATTCCACACTAGTGCTACCTGGCACCTTCAGGATTTTACACCCCCTTTTTTTGCCACAAATATTGGCCTTTGTCTTCCTCTCTTTATTCTTCATTCTAAAGATGGAGATATGACAAGTCCTGAAGGTCTTGGCCATGCTGTCAGCTGCCCCAGCTAGTAGAGAGGGACAACGCTCCTGGAGCCTGGCTGTGGCTGCTTGTGCCTGGGAAAGAGCTCTAAGGAGGTGCAGAGTAGCAGCATGCTGCACCTCATGCTGGCAGTAAGATCATTCTGGAGCCCCTTGCCTTAGCATGAACTGTCACCTCCTGCTTTCACAATGATGGGGTTTCATATCCTTTCTGGAGCTGCCTGGGCTGCAGGCCAGCCCGCCCAACCGCCTTCTCCCGGAGGAGCCTGGGGCTGAGCTGGATGCCCCTGCTGTACCACCTCCACTCCCATGTGCAGGCCTTTCCTCAGATGTGGGTTGAGGAACACTTCTCTCCTCTGTCACCACAGCCTGTTGGAGCACAGTGTGGGCTGGGAATGGAAATGGGGATGACATGGGATGGCAGGGAAAACTTTGTCCTGTCCCTTGGGATCCCAGTGAGCACAGGGAGTGCCTGTCACTGTGCCCACCCTCGTCTGCACCACTGGTAAGCACATTGTTCTAAACATATTTCCCCTCCTTCCTCTTCTCAGCCAGCACCCTCTGTGCTTGTGCCTTGTGTCAGGATGCCTTGTCCACCTAAGTTGCTCATACAAATCCCTTAGCATTTGGTAAGAGTGGCAATGGGGCTCTTCCACTTCCATGCCCAGGGCAGATGGATGAGCTGGAAGTCCCTGCGTTACTGGCTCAGTTCAGGCTGGAGATGCCCTTTTGAGCAAATGTCCTGGTTGCTCCCACACACTCCACTTCTGTTCACCTTGTGGGGTGACCTTGCAGTATATAGGCTGGGTTTCTGGTGGAGGAGACTAAACTGGAAAATGCTCCCCAGAAACACCCCATCTGCTTCCCAGCTCAGTTCATTGAGCCAAACTGCAGCTAGTCTGATGCAACCCCTCCTAAAAGATGTGCTACATGGGCGTAATATCCTCAGTCCCAAGTGCTTTGCCCTACAGATCTGCTCCTGTTGGACTGCATGACTTGCTCTCACAGGCTCAGCCCTTAAGACTGCTGCTGAGGTAAGGGAGCAAACCTGAGCTCTCTTGGTAGTGGCCACAGCCTAATGTTTTGGGGATGTTATAGACTGAAATTGGTACTGGGCAACTTTGATACACCAAAGCGTCAACCACAGCAGTTCAGCAGTGTTGGCAGAAATCCACAGTGCCTGGACAAGGCAGATAGGTGGGATGGGAACCATAAGTGCCCCAGAGCGAGTCCTTGGGGTCTTTGTCTTCAGTTCTCTGCTGGAAATGGAGGTCACTACATTTCTGTACCTGACTGGGCTATGATGGGAGTCAGAGGGATCTTGTTGTCCTTGAAGGACCCAGGGGCACTACAGTGAGGGACACTACAGAAGCACTTGGGTGGCAGCACCCCCTCAGCCATGACTCCGTGCCATGCCTGTGATCCCCAAACTGGATGCAGAGGTACAGGAGGCTAGACAAAAGGCACAGACGTCACGGGACAGATTTTGTTTCTGAACACTCAAACATCACAGGTGGTGGGGTTTTTGTCTGCATGTCATTTTAGCCCTGTAAGCGCAGAAAATGGGGCCTGCTTTGCTTGTCACTTATACTGAGGGGACTGTGTGTGTCCTCATTATGCATTGTGTTTCCTAGCACAGAAAACATGTTTTCAGGGCTTCTGTTACTCTGCTTCAAAAATTCCTACCTTTTTTTTTGACTTAGATGAAGCAACCCTTTGGAGAATGATGTCACCTGAACCTCAAATACTCAGAAGTTTTTGATCATGAGTTTTGGATGGCTTCAGGGTCAGACTTGCTGATTTACAAAGCGTATACGCACACTCTTCAAAACGTGTAAAATATGGAAGCAATTTGTGTATGCTTGGGAGAAGTGCTCACAGGCTTGAAGTTTTGGGCTTTTTTGCTGGGTCTTTACAATTTCTGAGTCTCTGGGGATTTTTACTGTTTCTTTCAAGCAGACACAAATGGTTTATGTGGATCACAAGGCCTGGCCCTTTGAGTTGGGAGTAGGTAGCTCTGAGAAGTGATCAGCTCTAAAAGCAGCTTCTTGTGCAGACCCTTCTCAGTTTTCCCTGGGAAGGAGCCAGCACAGAGCACCCTGCCTGCTTCTGAGAGCCCATATGAGACCATGGCCTTACGATCTCCAAACTGCTGTAATACCAGGGTCGCACTTGTATCCTTTCCAAGCAGTGATGGCAGCCGTAGTCACAGGAAGACAACAGCTGAGTTGGCAGGCTTGGCAGCCCCTGAGTGGTGGGGCAGGCTGTGCCTCTCTGACCTTTACAGTGGGGTCAGCCCTGCAAGCTGGCCAGCTCAGCTCCCCCTCTGCTGTGGCTGCTAGGGGGGCAGAGCCAAAATGTCCAGGCAGATTTCCCTGAAAAGGTCAAAGTGGTGCAGCTCAGTGGTGCTGGCAGAAGGGGGTTTCAGCTTCATTCGTGGGACAACAACTGTGAGCTCACTCTGGACCCTGGTATTGGCTGTGGGGGGACCCCAGCTGCTGCTCAGCCCAACGTTGTCATTTTTGAGTCTGGAGGGGCACCCTGGCATTGCACAGAGCTCGCTGGGGGCCTGGCAGCCACAGTTTCCTGCCTGCTGGTGCAGGGGATGATTCAGAGCTGCTCAGCAGGGCAGCATAGGGGAGAAACACAAAATGCCCCTCAGTAGGCAGGCACAGGGGTGGGAGCAGGGCTGGAGGGTGCACTAGTGCCCAGGCTGGAATGATAGCACAAGCCCAGGATGTGATGTGGGAAGCGGTGCAGGGCCAGCTGTCCTTGCACTAGCTCACTGTTTACATCAATCCTCCCAAAACCCAGGCAGCACTTGCATGCACTGGCCCTCACCAGGTGGCTGTGAACCATCCCCAAGCATTTCTGCTGGACATTAGCAGAGCTGTGAACTGTGGGTGATATGGGCTATGCCTGCTGCCTCCCTTACAGGTGCGAGGCTATTTAAGCAGCACTTTGCGTAGTTTCTCAAAGGGAAGGATTTGGCAACACAGAAGAGGAGAAATGCAAATTTTTTCCTTTTTTTTTTTTTTTTTTTTTTGCTAGGGAAGCCACAGGCTTACGAAGTCACCATTCATTTTAGCAGCCAAAGCAGCTGCACACAGCAGATTTGGTGACCGGACGCTGCGGTCTGGTTGTGTGTGTAGTTGATGCAAAGCTTGGAAAATAATAAACACAAGCTTCCCTGAGCAGGGCACGTCCGTTATTGCGTGCATGCTGTAATTCAGGAACTAGCAGATGTCTGAGCTTCGTGCCCAGCCTGACAGAGACATAGGAAGGGAACTGGTTCAGGGTTTGTGCACAGCTGCACTGGTCAGATGACTCTGTCAGCTGAACCTGCCTCCAAATCAGGCCTGATTTATCATAGCAGGGACTCTGACCTTTGTCTGGTCACAAAAATACCATCTTGGAAAGCTATCTGAAGGCTTTGTAAAGAAGGAGAGTGATGGTAATAATAGTTCAGGGGCGTCCCTGTAAAGGACTCTTTGCCTGCCGGCTGTGATGTGCAGCCTTCTCCCTCTCCGTGTCTCTCACCAGGGCTAGTGAGAGGCAATCACAAAAGGCTTGTCTCATCGGATGGTTAACATTTTTGCTTGCATTTGTCTGGAGATAATGGGGCATTTCTCTGCCTGGTTGTCTTGTTCCCACCTTCAGGCAAGTGCATCTTCAGGTCCACCTTCAGCCTTGCCTGCAGTGTGAGTGGCTCAGACCCATGACCAGCCCATAGCTCTTTGGTGGCCAGAGTGACAGGAGTTGGCAGCTGCCTTTGATCCTGTGCCACAAAACCAGTATACGTGGACAACCTCTGAGCAGGCTGGGCTATGTTTGTCACCATCAGGGCCACCTTGCTTGGAACTAAAAACCTGGGCTCAGGCTCTGCTCTCATGTGGCAGGGCAGCCAAAGTCTGTCTGAAGATAGCTCTGCAGATCAGCATGACCTGGGCTTGACCACATCTCCAAATATAGCTGAGAAAGAGAACTGGAGAAACCTGTGGATTTCCTTTCAACCTCATCTGCCGTGGCTGGGCACATTGTGCTGCAGGCTGTTGTGGCCACAATGAAGTTGTTAAAATGCTCAGTCAGAGAGCCCAAAGCTGTTTAGGCAGGGCTCTGGGGTGCCTTTCCTACTCTTTGGTGAGATCTTGAAAGAAAGCAGGCTGTGCCTTTTGGGTGTGAAAACGGGAGAGCGTTTTCTTTAAAACGAAAGTGCTGCTTAGCAGAGTTACGTAGTCACCAATGTTCCTTTTCTTTCAAAGTCCAGAGGGTAATTGTCTTTGCCTACTGTGTAAAGCAATAGGTACTTACCATTTGCAGAAAGAAGGGAGCATAGGTTGGTGGCTAAAACTCAGGAATGGCAACTTGGAGATATGAGTGAGCTCCATTAACCCCCAGGCACTGCCAATGTGAGGCGTAATTACAGATAGCTATTAATTCCTTCCATTTTTTTCTCCAAAATGTCCTGATGAAAGGTGCAAATGAATCCTGAAAGACACTGTTGTCAAAGGGACCTCAGCAGGCAACTCTGCAGAAAAGGAAAACGTTGTGCAATATTTACTTGTAAAAATCTGTGACTCGTTCCCCAAAGGCAGGCACACAAGGACTGCGGTGTTTGCAGCAAAGTCCAATCTGCAGCTGTGGCCCTGAGGGAATTACAGCTACTCCTGCCAAAAATTACTTGGTTCAAGACCTTTTCCTCAACCTTTACAGCATGTTAGGTTTCATACCTTAATGACAAGCAGCAAAAATGCCCCTCAGAGCAGCAGGCAGAATACTACCAAGATGCATGGGTGACCATAGCGAAATCAGATCAGGATATGGAAGGACAAGAAGAATGTGCCAGTTGGTGACACATAGTTTGTTTGCAGTGATTCATGGTCTTCCACTTTCACAAATTCCCCTCAGCCTCCTGCACAAGGATGCACTCTCTGTCTCTGCAGTGTTCTGTGGAACAACTGTGTCTCCCCCTTTCCTGGACAGTACTCTTCTCCCTCACCTGCTCTGGTGATCCTACAACTCGACAATGCCTGCAGTATCATTTCATTAATATATTACATACATTTCATTAATATATTTAATGCTTCAGCGATATTTACTTAAGTCCTGTGGCCACACTTAGGAAAAAATTGCTCCTTTTACCAAGAGGAGCCAAATGGAATGGGTGTTTCATGAAAGCAACAAAAGTTTGGGAAGAGGGGAGAAGTCAACTGAGTGCAAACACCGATCAAAGCTGTTCTCTTGCTCAAAACAAATACTAAGAAAACTTGCTCAGTGGGTCATGATGAGCTCATTCAGTCCACTCAATTACTGGAAAAATCTTCCACTTTGAGGAGTATGCATGCGTCTGTGTTGAGTCAGAACCTGGCACAGCAGCTTCAGTACACATTTTTGTTATAAAAAAGTCCCCTTTGTCTTTTGCAACCCTAAAAAAATTCTGGCCCAAACACTTTCTATGTTTCACATTTTTGACACAGAAAATATGGGCACTGTAGTATTATGTTTCACCAGGAAGGCGATGTCTTCAGACCTAGGTTAGGTCTGTTTTCCTACCTGCAGCATCTCAGTGTTGTGCATCCTTTTATTTGCTGTCCTACCACCTTTTATTTGATGTACAATTAGTATGTATGAAAAGGCTGCAAGCATATATGATTGTACACAGAAATCACATTTTGAAAAGTGTGCTGAAAGCATAGCAGAATTCTTCTGCTGAACTTATTGGCATATTTTCAATGCAAAGCTGGCAGCTACTGTATAATGCCTCCAGCCTACAGTACAGGGGCCTCAGAGAAAATGATGTGTTAGTGAGACTGAGAAAACACAGTCACAGACACCACAGAGCTATACTGGGAAGGGCACAGCAGTTGCAGGGAGGGGTCATGGACAAATGCGCTATTTCAAGCAAAATCTGAGAAGAGGATGTGTTCTTAGCCGCAGGAAGAGAGTGGTCTTAATCTGGATGGTTAATCATGTCACATGAAGAGAAATACATACTGTAAGTCCTCATGATTTCTGTTTCCAACAGCTTTTTTCCTCCTCTGAAATGACTTGCATGTAATTTGGTGCTGCTCATTTGCAACATAGTAGCATCTGCGCTCTGGCATTGTTGATGGAAAACTGGAGGTTCTCCGGGTGGTATGAGCCATGCTTCTGTCACAGCGTTAACCTCCATGTGTCTCTTTCTGGGAGACAGGCAGAGAGAGAGAAAGAGAGGGAAAAAAAATCTCCTGCTGACGTCAGTGAAGACCACACTGTGCTGGATAATATTACCATGTACCTCAACTGCCCACTCCCTTTAATTTACTAGAAACTAAGCAAGCTGTTTTGAAACCCGTTGCTTCCAGCGTGTTTGCACTGTTCTCCCTCGACCAAAGGCTATTAATTGTCAGGAGCTTGAAAGCTACCTGATTCCTTGTTCAAAGCACTGAGACAGAGGGGATTTCCATGAGTAATAATTTCAGTCTGTGCCTGTGCAGCGCACCGTAGGCTAGAGTAAATTGATCCAGCTGCTTGCAAGACTAGATGGAAAAGTGCCCGGGGGGCTGGGAGAACATCACCAGATGGAGCTGGATGCTGTTGTCATCACGTGGGCTCCCCAGCTGCTGGGCATGCTCGGGCTTGACTTCCACCATGAGCCGAGAGGCTCAGCCTTCCTGTCTGTGCTGACTTGCAATGCGAGGCAAATTTGCCAGCACATGTTGCAATGTCTTCTCTTGTAATAAAAGGGATAATTTTAGATTAGCCAGAACTAGCTTTTTTTTTTTCCTCTCTCTCTCTTTTCTTCCCTGCTCAATGTCCTCACTCCACTGACCCCAGTATTTTGTGCATGTATTTTACTCAGCAGCAATCTTCTCTGTGACAGAGACCATAAACGCTTCTGAGAGGCAAACTACTTCTACAAATAATAAAAACTGGCAGGATTAACCTGTAACCCGAGGCGATGAAAATATAGATTCCACTAGCCAGATGGCAGAGTTCAAAGATCCACTCACTTCCTGGTGGAGGTTGCACAATTTATTTTTTATTCTTGTCAAAAAGAAATAAGAAGTGAAAACATAGCAATAAAATGTGTACTGCTTGCTTCTCTGGTTTTAATCACATTTACTTTATACCTTTATATTTTGGTGTTAGAGATGTTAGGAAATACATTCTCTTTCCCTTCTGGAGCTGTTTACATCCTACTTGTTTTTTGGTTTTGGTGGTTTTTTTTGTTGTTGTTGTTATTTTCCTGGGATGTTTGTATGCTCAATTCAATTTAGTCTATTGGAAGAAGAGCATTACATAGGAGGAAGTAATTAACATAGTAGGAATGCAATTCACTTATTTTTTAAATGAGCAATTTAATTAGAGTTGCAGGGAAAAGAGATAGCACCCTAGATTTGATGGCTGCATCTTTGCAGGAAAGCCCAGCGCTGGCAGCGTGACAGCAGCAGCCCAGTGCAAGCTGGGCAAGAGCCAGGTGTGCTCAGAAGGTCTGAGGGCTGCCTGAGCCTCAGCTCTCTGGTGAGTTCATGGAGGGAGAGATCCATGTTGCAAATAAGGTGCTAAGCCATTAACGAGGTGGCCAGAGAAAGGGGTGCACCCCTATGGTGGGACAGGGGCAGCGGGGAAAGGCATCCCCCAGATGCTAGCACTGTACACTGAGGATAAGAAATGGGGAGCAGAGGCTTTCCCTCCCCACTGCAGAGCAGCTGGCTTGGCAGGAGAAAGTAATTTTACATTTCCTTTGTCCCCCTACACAGGAGCATTTAAGTGGGACCTAGTTTATCCAGGGAGTGGCAGGAGCAGAGCTAGTGCCATGATGCCCCACCCATGCTGCATGCCCCATGCCCCACGCTCCCGTAGCAGGGCTGGCCAAGCAGCACTTCTCACAAACAACAAACCCACTCTGCCTCTTTACCTTCCCATTTAGTCCCTACTGACTAACCCAACACGTGCAGACAGTGTTGCAGCAAGGGGACCTTGCCACATCCCTACTGAATTGGCAGTAGTGAATTTACTGGAGAGAGAGGATGAGAGCACGTTAATCTGAGAGCAGCTCTTGGTTCTTCTTTCCCTGGACGGGGTCCTACAGCTTTCTTCACCAGCCAGGCATTAGCTGTGAGAAGAAAGGCTGTGAAGTGTGAGATTTAGATAAGCTCCTGTGTGCCCAGCTATCGTGTAGCTGTCATGAAGTGTACACAGAGGTAAACGGCTCGGCCAGCAAATAGCAGAAGTGGGAGTGGAGGAATAAAGTTCATGGGTTGTTTTTGTGATGGTTTGTCCTCCCTCGCCCGCTGGGCCACTGATGAACACAGGATTTGAGCTGGTGGCAGGGATTTGGAGCAGGCTGCAGGTACCCTTCAGGAGAGCAGCACTGGGAGTTCCAGGCAGGGAGTTTATGATTAATTTTGCAGGCATTTATTGTGCAACGTGAGATGGCCACTGGCCAGCTCAGAAGTTAAGCCAGAAGATGACTGTCAAATGAAACTGTTACGTTTGGCAGATCTTTCCAAAGCTGCTGTGCAAAACAGGCATAGTGAAGCTGATTTCTGGATTTTCCAGACCCTCTGAATGGCATCTTCTTGCAGAGCAGTCTTCTTCATTTTCCCCATTTTGGCATAAGAATGTGTATGGCTTACAGGCTGCATGGATTTTAGGTCAGTATTTGTGTACAGGCAGCCCTCTCCATGCCCTAACATTTACCTGCAAACCTCTCTGGTAATTCCTTGTTTAACAAACTTGCAAGGAAGCAGCTCTACTTCAGTTGGCTTTCTGAAAATAAAACTGTGTTTTCTTTGAAAAGCCTTTTCAGCCCAGATGAAGGGGGGGAGGAGATGAAAAAGCTGGTGGTGCGAAACGAGCTCTGCCCGTGCAAGCAGATTGCGATAGAAATTTCCCCCTTGTGTGGCTTACCCTGAGCTAAGGTCAGTCAGTTAACTCTGTTTGGACACCGTCTGGCATGAATACTTCAACGATAAAGCTTAATGTGTAACCCAGGGCTTTTTTTTCTTCTGTGTCAGCAGTTGGCAGGAAGATACTGTAAATAAGGCTCCCTATGAGTAAATAGATATGTGTGGAGAGGGGAGGGGAGCACCGCAGTAAGCAGTTTTGAAATTTATGCCAGCGTTGCTTCAAGTGATAAGGTTATTTGAGTAACCTGCAAACCATACGGATGCACAGGTTTAAAAAACAGGAAAGCGTCTTGTTTAAAAAACTTCTGAGGCAACCCGAAGGCTTAGAAAAGAAACTGGCTATGCGGTTAAGTGATTGTACTTCCTTGTTGGTGTCAGGATTGAGGCGGTGCAAGGCCTGTTGGGATGGTGGTGGTGCATATGGTGAAGGGGCAGCTGTGGTGGCCATGCTCACATCCAGCCACGGGGCTTTTTGGAGGGCTGAGAAATCTCAAAGTTTCCTTACCCACTTCCTCTTTGGGTGAGCTGGGAGCGTTTTTTCTCACTCTCCTTTTCAGTAATGTAATAAGAAAGAAGTAAATAATCCAAGCAGTCCAACATCCTCAGAGGATGCTCTGTGTCTGAGCTCACCCTGTCCCCTCTCCCAGCAGACATGGCTCTGCTGTGGGCTGTGCCAGGCTGCCTGATGCTGAGCCTGGCTTCTGACACTGCCAGCCCAGCACCCAAACAGGAGGGCAGGGCTTTCTGTGGGGTTTAAACATGGATGTACAGAATTTGCTGATGCTTTTGGAAAGTCTGATGGCTACGTTTCTCCATAAATAAACCAAAGCCATGTACTTTCTGTTTGACCTTTGCTTTTGGATTAAGAAAATCAGGCCACAAGGTCTGAAGTTTAGTTTGTACAGGACAGAGAAATGCATTTGCCTGGGCACACGTGGCTGCTGGTGCACACGTGTCTTGCTGAACACAGCGTGACCCTTGCTTGCACTGGCAGCATGCTCCTCAGGGATTTACAGAGCTGGTACTTAGAAAACACAAGTCTTTCTCACCTGAAATGACATAGCTGACACAGTTCCAGCACACTCTGTTATTATTTATTGAACAGGACTCAATGGACAAAGTTGGGACACAGGCTTTGTCTTTCCCAGCATCTCAGGTTTCTAGTGGAGGTCACATTCCTTCCTGTTGAATTTGAGTATGTTCATTTTTCGAGCCCTAGGGGTCAGACGGGTCCCTTCCCAACAGGATGGCTCTTCTCTTCCTGGAAGCAGAGGGAATATTTCAATCCCAACCTGGCTTCCCCTCCCTACCTGCATTACCTTCAAGAATGTTCACTTAATCTGGTTTTCTCACCAGTGGCAGTTTCAGTGCTGGCCACAGCAGAGCTGCAGCAGAGATGGCTTTGGTCCTTCAGGTCCTGTATTTCAATTGCTCTTCAACTGAAATGTCAATGGCTTCTCAGTCAGTCAGAGCAAAGAAAATGTTTGAAAAACTTAGGAAATTAATTTATCTAAACTTGGAGAAATTGGCTTTTTTGGCTAGAAATTTAAGCTCCAGCCAACACAGTGGACTTTTGCCAACTCAACTTTTGCCTTGGTCCTAGAAGCAAGCAATGAAAAGGGAGGGGAAAAAAAAAAAGAAAGAAAAAAAAAATCCCCTCCATTGCCCCTTAGATTTAATTGTGGTTTTTTTGTAAGCCTTATAAGTCCTGCCCAAATCACATCATCAAGCTATAGGGAAACTGAAACCTTGCCCAAGGCAGGAGCCAGCAGGGCTGTTCAAACCAGAAGGGTTACATTCAGGGACAAGTTCAATGCACTGCAGTCTTGTTTTGAATGGGAATGTGCTCGTCTGTGTGTGTATGTGAGAGAGGCACCTGGGTGCCTTTATCCTCTCTGGATGTGAGAAAAGCTGCAAAAGGAAGAGTGGCATGAGTGGAGGCAAAACAGACATCCTTGCGGCCGCCCCCCCAAGAGCCTTTCAAGTATTTTTCCTCTTGTGCTGCAGCAAGGGGGAGCAGGAAGGGAGGAACAGAGACTCACACCAAACTGGCACGTCCAAGCGCTTTATTTTTTCCTTTGGGCATCAGACAGACAGAGAGAGGAGGATTTTTAAAAAAAATTTCTAAGCTGAACTCCTGAGGGTTTTCTTGCCCTTCTTTCTTGTGGCACTCTGATATAATTTTTTTGCATATAACTCCCAACCAGAAAGATAAAAGTGAGTTTCAACTTGGAGACTGAGCTTCCTTGGTATCTTTGGTGCTGTCCCGTGGTCCCACGTGTGGGGTGGGTGATGCCCAGCTGAGAGATCAGCAGCATCTCACCAGAGTAAAACCAGAGAAAAACATCACTATTAGTATTTAATGGCAGGGGGTGTGCATGATAGGTCCTGCAAGGTTTCAGCAAGCACATTTTTTGGATTTTCAGTGAAGCAGGGCTTGGCCTGAAGCAGTGGCTGGCATTGTGTAGGGGCACAATTGCCTGCCCATGAAACGGGCACCACATAGTGCCCCACTGTGCACCTCCCTTCACCTCAGCAGCTGGCAGCTCCCTGTCCCTCTGGAAGGGAAAGAATCAGAATCAGAATCTGCTGGGGGCTGAACTATCCCTAACAGTGTTTAGTCACCCATCTACAAACTGCAGCAGAAGCTGAAAATGTTTGCTTGGTTTTATTTGTTGGTTTTTTTCCCCCCCACCTCCTGTAGTAAAATACATTTAAAAGCACAAAGGGATAAGGCCCCCTCCTGCCAAGCATCAAACTGAGCCCCCTCCACTCTGAAAAGTCCCACACGCTGACCTTTGCCTTCACTTGGTCTTTTTTCAGACTCATCATTATTTTGGCCACATTTGTACTTT